AAGGGCAGAGAGGAAGAGGAAATATGAGGGAGAAGGCAACGAAAAAAGAGACCTGGGGAGGGGAGGATGTGGGGAGTGGTGACGGAGAAAGGAGAAAGAAAAGGAAGATGGCAGAGTGTGTGAGACAGGCTAGAGCAGGGCAGCCCCAGCTGTGCAAGAAGCCAGGAAAGAGCAAGAGTTCACCAGTCTCTTGGAGGGAACCAGCCCCAGCCCAGCGAGTCAGCAGGAGTAATCAGCTAGGGGCTTTGCTTAATTACAGGCTCCAGAGCTGGGTCTGGAGGAGGAGATACTTAGCAGTGTCCCCGGCCAGGCTGGGCACTGGAACGTCCGCAAGCCTGAGAGATCCGAACACCCCACCTCCACCCACTCCCAAGCCAGGAGCCTGCAAGGTGGAGGGCAGGCTAGGGCTGCAGCAAGGCCAGCCAGACTTGGGACATTCACTTGGGACAGGAGTCCCTGGGCTGGTCAGCCAGGTGGCCACAGGCCTGGGGAGGCCCTGCCTGGGCTGCAAAGGGGCCACCTTGGCTCCTCTATGCGCACTGGAGGCCTGGGGCCCTGGCCACCCGAAGGGGGGAAATCAGTCCCAATCCTGTGCTAATGAATAAAAAAAGCCCCCTTTACTTCACTGCTGTTTTTGGTTCACTAAATTTTCCACAGATTTGCAGAAAAGAAAACATAATCAATAAACCCTGACAAAAGTGAACATGTGAAAAAAGCCAGAGAATGGAACAGCGAGATAAAAGTGATATCCGATCAGATTTCCGAGGCAGGGGACAGGCTCCGGCTGGCTGCTGAAGAATCTCAATGGGCCATCACCCCTCTACCGCGGGCCTACCATTTGCTGCAACTCCTCATTCAAGACAATAGGAAAAGCACTAAAACTGTTTTTTCTTATGCTAATGGATGAAACCCAGTACTCAGTTAAAACACACTTCCCAGGGACCTGCTTTTTTTAAAAAAACAACACACATGTGCACACACACAAAACCACATTAACTTGTTCCACATAAACTCCAGCTCAAAGAGACAGTTTAATACATACTCTATAGTCACATGTTAACTGAGTATGTGTGTATGTATGTTTTTAAGAAACCAAAAACAAAACCTATACCAGAATATTAGGGACTCTTTTACTGACGAATTAAGGGAAACAAGTCACAAAACATGCAAAAAGCATGCTATCTTCAGCATGTGTTTTCCCAGTTTTTAAAATGTAGTTGTGTAGATTAAGGGTGTTTTGTACCTCTCAAAAATCTAAAAACAATGAGCAATGATTTGCTTTTGAAAATCTTAAAATATGACAAAGCAAATCCTCAGATTAACTTTGGATAAATGATTATTACTGAAACTGGTGTTACGTGTTTCTCTGAAAACCACAAATGCATCGAAGGTGTTACTCTACCAAAGGGCACGAGCAAGTCACTGTCCGTGACCCTTTTCCCAGTCTGCTTTTAAACAAGGGAGCAGTTTGTCTGAGTTCTTTGGAAGTGAGAGTGCCTCACATACTAAAATTGCTGGGCATTCTGGTTGTCCGTACAATCACCTTTTCTGCCTCTCCAAATTTTCTGGAATCTGAGAACACTGTTTCTCTCTTTGGCATTCTTTACATGTTTCATTTGTCCCTGCCGCTGACACTTACTGAAAAGAAGAAAGGAGGCAACTGCTTCCCCAGGGTTTCTTTTCAAAGGGCCCTGGTCCAGCGGGCACAGCTGCAGCTGTCCACAGCAAGGTCCACCTGGCCTGGGTTCCCTTGTCCCTCAAGCACCAGGAAATGGGCTCTGACACAGGTAGATGCCCCCTCCCCCCAGCCCAAAGTAGCTAGGCGGTTCATTCCACCTCCCCCAGAGGCCAGGCACAAGAAAGGAAGCTGGCTGAACACACATTCCTGGACCAGCCAGCTGCCGGCCCACAGACACACAAGGATGCAGAACTCTGGTTTTGAGTTTTAACAAGCCAGCTGGGTGTGAGGGGGTCACACGGGCTTTCATAGTGCGCACGACAACCTCCTGGTCTCATTTAAAGGGAATTGCTGGCATCTGTGCACTGAAGTTTTCCCCTGGGGTGGCCAAACGGGGCCCTGATGCACGAAGGGTGTTTATAGGCAAATATCCAATTTTCTCTGTCCGCCTGCTGAATCCCCCTGTTGCTAATCCAGCCCCAGGGGCTGCACTGTGTACAGGGCACTTGTGGGAGTACAAAAAGCGTGAAGTATTTGTGTATTTTTCAGTCTGCAGTGCAAACAAGCGAGCTCTAGTACACAGCCCTGGAGACCCCCGCAGCCAGGCAATGAGCTGCTGACTGGCAGCCTGCGGCCCCCTCTTTTGACCAGGCAACTCGGAGGATTTCCTCTCTGTTCAGTGTCCTCCGGAGTGGGCTGGAAGATCCAGAGAGAGTGAAGAGGGCTCAACTTGAAAGTGGGCTGAGTCAAGAGCTTCTCCAAGGCCTCGAATGACTGGGGCCACTGGAGTTTGGGAGGTCCCAACTCCAGGAGTCTGAAGACTGGGCAAATGTGGGCCACATCATCTCCCACAGAGGACAAAAACAACCCTCACAACCCAGCCACCATGGTCTGGCTCAGAAGTGGTTTTCTCCCTCTTCCTTGGTCTCACCAGCTGACTTTGCAAACAAACCTCTTTGAGCACTCTGTCAGGTGCAGGGCTGATTCACTGAGGGCTACCACTAGGGCAGGTGGGCTCTTCTAAACGCCCCCTTGTTCCCAGCATTACTTTAAATCCCACTAGAATCAGAAACAACCTAAGAAATTGGCACAGTTGTCAAAGCAAAGAAGAAACACAAAACCACTCTAAATCTTACAAAATATAATTAAAACCCATTGAACAAGTGACAACTTTCCATACAGCTGGCTTTGAGGAGAATGCGTGCGCTGAAGTCTCCACAACTCCCAGAGCCCTCAAGAGAACAAGCAAAACTAGGAAAGTGAAAGCAAGAAAGATGAAGAGCCCCACAAGCAGGGGCCCGGGCTTTGCGGAGCATCTCTAGGGCCCAGACTCCACATTGTGAAATTACTGCCCCTCGGACAGACCAGAAGGGAGAAGAAAGCTAAATCCCATCAAAACTCAAACTAATCAGGCATGGCCAGGAGCTCTTTCCCTCTCTTGGAGGATCAGCCCAGGCAGGTACACAGTAAATTTTCCCTAGAGCAACAGTGAAGCTGCACCCAGGCCCGGAAGGCCTGCCCCAGACGCACAGAAGCCGGAGCGAAGGAAACTCCCAACCAAGGTAAGGAAATGGGCGGGCAGGGGGCTCGTAGGAGAGGTGGCTAGAACAAACAGCTCTCATCAGGGAGACTCTGACAAGCCCGCCTATTCCGCCGCTATCCCCCGCTGTATATTTTGGATTTCACAGTTTATTTACTTCACTTTTTGGCACCGCGCCCCCCTGAGCATGCCAATACAATATTTGTTTAAACACTATTTTATGCCGCTTGCGAGGGAAACGTTTACTTTCAAATTCTCCAACATCCCCCAGAGCCTCGACTGCAAACAGCATATGAGCATTTTACAACTGCTCCCTTTATCTGAAGCTGTTGTGATTAAACCTTCACACGCCCCGCAAGGGCGGCAAATCAGGGGCCCAGGGCAGCGACGCGGCCACGGCACTGCAAAACTCGCGCCACAGGCCGGGCTCCCGCGGGGTTACACTGGCTCGGGGTCAGAGAAGCACGGAAAACACCCGCAAGGCGCAGGACCTGACTCTAGGAGAGGCCTGCTTTCCCCGCTGGGTTCCACTCCCACAAACACAAAGCAGTTACAACAAAAAAGGGGGCGGTGGGGAGAAGCACCCGGTGGGGACGGAGGTACAACAGAACCCCGTGCATCTTAGCGCTCCATCGTGCGCCTTAGAGCGCCCAGTCACTCGGGGAGCGGTGCGCGAGTTCTATCCCTAGCTCTTCCAGCTATAAAAATCGGGTTTCCTAGGAACTGACAGCAATTACAGCCGGGCTGAAAAGGCGCCGAGTTGGGTGGACTTCCAGCTCTCCGGAGCGGCGGGCGCGCTCACACTCACACACGCACGCACGCACGCACCCACACGCTCCCTTCCCCCACCCCAACCTATGCCCCCCAGTCCGCCCCCGTCCGGGGAAAACGTTCCCCTCTCTAAACCCTTAATAGGATTGGCGCCCAACTCTCTCCGCGCCTCTCCCCATCCATCACACACAGATCAAGTTGCAGTAGTGGATTTTTCAAATTCCTTAGCAAATATACTTGTTGAGAGATTGTCCCTGGGGGGCTGGGAGGGAAACGATGAGTGGGGGGCGGGGATGAAAATGAGGGGTGGGGGAACCCGTACACTGGCGAAGATTACGCGCGGATCTCCTCGGGAAGTCAATCGGATCTTGGGGACCGAATGCAGGAAAGGAGGTGGAAAAAGGCCAAAAACGAAGCCAGGGAAAAGAGCCCTGCCGAGGGGGAGGGGGCGGCAGGGCCCGGCGAGGGGGAGAAAGGAGCGAGGAAGAAAGAAAGGCAGGACTCAGGAGCGCGCAGCGCGAAGAAGTGAGTCAGAAGTTCACAAGCGGCCGGCTGCAGCCCCTCCGCACGCAGCGCACTCCCGCAGACGTTCCAGCTGCCTCGCTGAGGGAGCTTCAGAGCATCCCAGTGATTCCACCCAAAACCACCCCCTGCGCAAATTCACCTCCCCTCCCCCTTCCCCAGAGCGGTGAGACTTGGCCGCCCAGCAGTGCACCCCAAGAGAAACGCTCTTCCCTCAGGTGGAGCCAGAGACGCAGTCGATCCCCAGCCACGAGTTCCCACCTCCAAGATCCCTCTTAGATCCTCTGCCTTATGGGCCAGAACCAGAAATGGAGTCGCCCCAATGGCCTCTAGTCCCCTGAACCAGGGTCACGATCCCGCGCCCCAGCGCTGATACCCGGCCGAAGGATCCTCTAGAGACGGCGCAGCATCCCAGCGGGCCAGGATTCGGCCAAGTCAGAAGGCGCTTCACAGGAGCAAGCAAGCAAAAGAAGGCCAATGCAACTTTACCGAGGAGACAAAAGTTTGCCTCTAGCACGCAGGTGGCCTCTCGGGCGCCGGGCAGTGGTTGGAGGCCCCCATTCCAACTTGGCTGGCGCAGCGACCTGCCGCGGGCAGCGGTGCGCCGGGCGCAGGCTGGCCCGGGTGGGGCGGGCAGGCAGGGGAAGGGAACCACGCGGCGGGGGCCGGACAGCCCCTACCGCCGGCGAGCGGGCAGCTCCCGGAGGCTCCGGCGTGCCGCGCGGCCCGCGCTCCTTCCCCCGGCTCCTCCCGCGTCTCCCAGCCTTCCTACGCGTCCGCTGCCGCCGCCTCCCGCTCCTCCTCGAAGTCTCATTGATGGGAGTTTGAAAAAAAGTCCGCGGAGCCGTGCTGCCTCGGCTGGCGAGCGCCGGCACTCCTGCAAGCCATCAGCGCCGGCGGACTGCGCAGCGCCCCCGCGCGCTCGGTTTTGGCACACTCGGGCGCCACGCACCCGCCCTCGCCGCGCGCACCCTGTCTGGGGAGGTTGGGGAGGACAAGGACGCCACGGGAAGGGGAGGGGTGAAGCGGGCGGTGGGGGACTATCCTCCTCCCCTACGGGAAAGTTCGAGCAGGGAACAGAACTCGCCAGTCTGCAACACTTTTTTCAAGGCGCCGGGCCCGGGGGGCTGGGGGTGTCGCTAACTCAAGTCAGATGAGTTCCGCTGCTCCAGCACTCGGACTGCTCTGTTTTCAATCTCTGAAATCCCCCCGCCCTCCCTATTTCTTCGCTCCGCCTGGAGTTGCCCGGGTCGCTGTTCTCTGGGCGCCCGCTTCTCCAGGCGCCGGGGCGGAAGCCGAGATAGTGAAGGAAGAGAGGCGGAGACAGGGTCCATGCGGACCCTCTTCCTGCTGGCGGCGAACGCAGGTGCTGGGGGTCCTGCTGCGCCCCGGTCCGCGGCTCGCGCAAGTTGCCTTTGGTGCGCTTGTTGGCGAGAAAGGAGGCAGCCTTTTGGGTGCGTATATTTTCTAGGGAGGGCTTTTGTTTTGTTTTGCTGGAGATTCCACTGCAGCGGCTGCAGCCAGATGGAAGTAATCAGAACCCAACAACAGGGAGAGGCAAGCAGAAACCTCGCTCAATTTTTGGGCCAAACTGCTGAGCAAACTGGAAGAGTCCTGGGACCTCCTGCCACTAGGCAGCCCGGAACTGGCCCGCCAGATTTAGATAAGCAGGAGGGCGCCTGGCTGGAGTGCCCCCCAAGGCTCCAGATCCACCCCCCAGAGTGCCTCATAGGGAATTTTTTTAATATTTGTATTTAATGTTTGTAGGACTTTAAGCCGGATGACATTGTTCTGAAGCCGGGTCCCCCTGTACAGCCAGAAGACTGGGGGTTAAGGAAATGAGGGGAGTCCAGGGCCACCACCCCATTCCGCTTCCACCCTCCCTGTGTAGCTGTGACCTTCACGGGCCCATTTTCCGGTTTTGTCCGTAACTCCTTGAAACACACGGTATACCCCTGAGTTACACTCCCAGCCACACTCCGACCCCACACCCTTGTTTTTCTGAGTTGGGAGTTGAACCAAAGGCCTCCTGCATGTAGGTAAGTGCTCCACTTCAGAGCTACCTCCCCAGCTTTATTTTTTACTTTTTAACCAAAGAAAAAAGCATTCTGACTCTGTCCCCCATTCTTTATTACCTTTCCGCCCTTCCCCCAGCATCCATTTATATGAAAGGAGCAACAATTTCTTCTTGACCCAGAGGAGGAAAAAAGGCAGAAAAATATTATAACAAGTTGATGCTAATTTTGTTTGCCTCAAGTAAGCTCTCCAGATGGAGAAAAAAAAAATTCCAAACTGGCAGTGTTTTAAAAAAGCAAAACTTGCAGAAGCCAATGCATTAAGGAGAAGTCTGAAAGGGACTTTTTCTTTAAATATGATGGGATTCACCATTCCTCTATGCTATTTGTTTAAATTCCTGCTGAGCTTTCAGAACACAGACTGGAAGGAGACAGAAAAAGTAAACCCGCCCTCTCTCCTTGGCCATATTTTAATAACCCTATTCATATCTACCCCATGAAACGCAGGAATCATTTCTTGTTGCTGAAATATTAACCGCGTCAGCTGATTACTTCATTACAACCTTGTCTCTGTTGGTTTCCTTGTGCTGTAAAGTTTGTGAATAAATTTAAGCAAATCAACATTTGGGGATTTTTTTTCCTCCTTTTTCTGTTGTTTTTTTTTTTTTTCCTCAGGCCAAATCAACTCCTGCTGGAATCCAGACACTCACAGAACCTTTCCTGGCTTATTTTGGCAAGAAGATGACTGCAGAGAAGAAGATGGAATGTTTTCAGTTTAGAAGAGTTCTGTGAACACCCTGCCTTACTCTGTAGATGGCCAGAACCTTGGGCACCGAAAGCAAGAGGAAGTTTGGAGTGGAGGTGTACAGGACTGGCAGAGGAAGCCTTTGATGGCACTGGACACCAGGTCTGGGACTTGATGCAGGCCCTTGGGCAAGTCCAAGTTCATTCAGTCAGCATCTTTTTGTGTACCAACATTGCACTAAGTGGCAAGGTGGTTCCGTGGGTCACACCCACAAGAGCCTTCCTGCGTGGATCCTGCCTCATTCATAACACAAACATACTCACAAACTGGATAAAAAAAAGACAAGCGGGGCTGGGGAGATAGCTCAGTAGGATAAGCGCTTGCCCGGCAAGCGCAAGGGCCTGAGTTCAATCCCTGGTTCCTCAAATAAAATAAAAGACAAAGGACTCTGAAAATCCAGTGAGAAGTCTGAGCATAGGATTTCCAGAAACAGAAAAGAAGGAAGGGGGCCGGGGTCTGAGTTCAATCCCCAGTTCCACCAAAAAAGAAAGAAAGAGAAGAAGGAAAGGTAGCTGAGAGGAGGAAGTGTCTGCTCTGGCTCTGCCTTTCCTCTTTTAATAAATGGGTTTGAATGACAAGACAGGGGCCGCGGAGATGGCTCAGTAAAGCACAAGGGCCTGAGTTCAATCCCCAGTTTCAAAAAAAAAAAAAAAGAATGAATGATAAGACAATTCAGTCCCAAAGAGAAGCTACTTTTCCATTGTCTAGGTGAGCTAGTTATAGTCACACTGCTTAGTAACAGGGAAACATGCTGCGAAATTCGATTGGCATTAGGCAGTAGCATCATCATGTGATCATTGTAGAGTATAGGTAAGCAAACCTAGTTGTTCCAGGTTAATCATTTGACATGACTTGTTGGTACAATCAAGGGATGCAACGAACGTGAGACACCTGTGGCTGCTGCTGGAATAGGACTATATTTTACAGTAAATATTTTTATAAGTAGGAGAAATTCTACAATCTAGACCAGTAGTGGCAAATCTATGGCATTCATGCCACAACCAGCTGTTATCATTGAGAGCTCTAAAACGTATGCCATGACTGCTCTAGACTAACAGTAAAAGCATAGTACAGTAATAAATAAGCCAGTAACAGTCATTTATTATCACAAATCATGTATTATATGTAATAGGATTGCTATACTTTTATATGACTGGTAATATATAGGCTTGTTTTCAACAAAAGCACCACACACATGTGAGTAATGTGTGTGGTGAGACATTTCCATAGCTACATACAACATCATTAGGAATAGGAATTTTCTTGTTCTGTTGTAATTTTATAGGACCACCATTAGTGGTCCTATAAAATTGACCAAAATGTCATGCAGTACCTAGCTGTGCTAGAAAACAAATCATCCCCAAACTCAGTAGGATAAAATAACCATTTATTATGCTCATGGATTCTGAGGGTTAGGAAAATCCAAGACAAGACATAGCAGGGATCGTTTGTCTCTGCTGCACTGTACCCAGGCCTCCATCGTTGGCTGGCTCCAGAGCAGAGGAGCATGGCATAGGAGAAGCAGTCCATGGAGTGGCAGACAGGAAGCAGCAGCAGCAAGCCTGCCTTTCCTTTTTATCCCATCCAGGCTGCAAGCATTTGGGGCAGTGCCACCAACACCTAAGGTGGAGCTTCTGTTTTGGGTAAATCCAGTCAGCCACATCTGGAGCTGTGCTAATTCCAGCTGGTGGACTAATTTATAACTACACACCCTCAATCCCAGTATCACATCCTCAATCCACATTCACACACCTTAGACCCAGCCGCCTCTAAAAAGCCTCTCCTGTAACTGCGTACGGCTTTGGGGGGACAGCTAGACACAAACTGTGATAGGCATTAATCACTTTCCCTTTTTTTTTTTTTTCAGAACCGGGGATTGAACTCAGGCCCTTGAACTTGTCAGGAAGCGCTTATTCCACTGAGCCATCTCCCGGGCCCCTCCCTTTCCTTTTTAACTTTATATTTTTATTAATATATATTTGTCAAAAAATTGATCACATTCATTATAGGGAATTTGTACCTTTCATTAAATACCTTTCTTCTTGTTTTTCCCCATTCTCATTTGCATCCTCTCCCTTCAACCCTTCCTGCTCTCCCCATTTACAAAAGCTTTGTTGTTATTTTATGTCTATTTTTTATGGTGCCAGGGATCAAACTCGAAACCTTGTACTTTCCAGGCAGGCACTTAGGCCACTGAGGTATTTCCCCAGCCTTTGTTGCCATTTCATCCCTTCTTTTTTCTCTTTTTTCCCTTCCTTCTTCTTCCCCTCCCTCATACCCTGTTCCCCTTCCCATATGAACATATTCTTCTCAATATTTATCATCCAGGCCTGGGGAGATGGCTCAGTGGAATAAACACTTCCCTGGCAAGTGCAAGGGCCTGAGTTCAATCCCCAGTTCTGAAAAAAAAAAAATTTATCATCCATTGTACTGTTAATTTAAACTTTAGCTTCCTCATACAAGAGAGAGAAACAATGCAATATTTAAATTTGTGCACCTTATTTATTTCATTCACGATTATGGTCTTGAGTTGCATTCATTTTCCTGCAAATACTCAAGCATGCTGCTCTGTATTGGCAGAGTAGCACTCCATTGTGTATACACACTACATTTTCTCCATTCATCTGTTGATGGGCATATGGTGTGTTTCAAGGACTACAAATTGTGCGGCTATAAATATGGCTATGCATATAGCCCTGTGATACGGTGTTTTTAAGTCTGTCAGGAAGATACTTAGGAGGGAAGACGACAGCTAGATTAAATGTAACCTCTAGTTTTACAGTTCTGACTTCTGAGGAATCTCTGTACTGATTTCCATAGTGGTTGTACCAGTTTACACTCCTACCAGTAGAGA